TAATGATGCTAAAAATATAGCTTATAAATCACAGTAATAAATTGCATTTTTAAATATTTTCAAATAGAAAACAGTTTTATTTTAATATATTACTTATTTTAAATAGTAAAAATATTTCAAAATGTTACTGTTTTTACTGTATTTTGGATCAAATAAATGCAGGCTTGGTGAGCAGAAGAGAATTATTCAAAACCATTAAAAAAACTTACTGTTTAAAAACTTTTGACTGGTATTGTATGTTAGCCTACAGTTTGAAGTTAAATATATTAATATTAATTAGGTGAGTCTGAGACGATTATTTGACAGTGATTTCACATTTCTAGTTTGAATGAAGGCTAAATACAAATAAAAGGTGAGCATTAATTTATTTGTGCTGTTTTTCTTTTCTAAAATATTATATGGTTTTATATGAGGTGTCATAGACTTGGCAAATTCATTTTTCATAAGTTTGTATGCACAGACATCTGTTGTGGGCGTTCTTGGCAGTTTTTACGAGGCTTTTTTTAATAGTGTTCATATTGTGCTGTTTTTTTCTTCTTCTAAAATATATGGTTTTATATGAGGTGTCGTAGACTTGGCAAATTCATTTTTCATAAGTTTGTATGCACAGACATCTGTTGTGGGCGTTCTTGGCAGTTTTTACGAGACTTTAAAAAAAAATAGTGTTCATATCGATATCGGAATTATATCGTATCGACCGAAATTAAGAAATATATAGTGATATAAATGTTGGCGATATCGTCCAGCCCTACATCCTCATTAGCAACTTTTCATAAAACCATGTCTCACTTTCAGGTGCTATATTGGGGAGCTGACCTTGAGCACATAAAAACCAAAAAGTTGAGCTTTGTTCTCGAGACTCTAGGCATTTTGAGACTTTGTCAGGAGTCTCAATGTCAGTTTGAATGCTATCGTAGAGTTTTAGACTCCTCAAGCCACAGCCGGAATCTGCTGGCTGGAAAATGGCTGTTTGTTATCGGGGTGCGACTGCACTGCGCCAATTTTGACTGACTTGATTTGATCATTTGCCAACTGTGCAATAGGAGAAAAGGAGAGACAGAAAGCAGCCAACAGGTTTTTTCATAAATATTTCTACAGGCCATGCAGAGTGCTTTCATACCCTCTTTTTTTCCTTCCTCCTATAACTTACTGTATATAAATCACTTGAATTGAATTTTGTAGAGAACTCCAGCCTTAGATGTGCTCTCAGTTTTTGGATTTTATTATCATTTATACCCATTTTTGAAGTTGAATCTACCACTGCCATAAGAAATTAAGTGCCAGCAATGATGTCATACTTATATTTGCATAATGAATTGTGATTGGTCTTCATCAAACATTAAGTTCATCCATGGAATTGTAATTTGAGGGGATCAATCAATCAATCAATCAATCAATCAATAAATCAATCAATCCCTATACCTATATTTCAGTTTATAACTTTCAAACTATTATTTTACCTAAAATAATAATTTGGTCATAGGAAAATTATAAAGTCATAGGAAATCATCCACTGTAGTTTGAGACTCAAAGTATTGGTAAGTGGGGTACAAGCAATAAATCAATTATTTAAATAAACAAAAGTATTTACTTAATTATTAGTACTTGATATTTATAATAGCAATAATTATTAATATTAAATAAAATATTTCACTTAAAAAATTATGTTATACATCATTGCACAGTGTAAATGTGTGTTAGATTATATAAATATAAATTAGATTGATTCATGGAATCCGAATTGTAATTTGAAGCTCTCAATCAATCAATCAATCAAATCATCCATCCCTGTCTGTACTTAAATTTCTGTTTACAACTTTTCAAACTATTATTTTACCTAAAAACATAAATAAAAAATATACTGTTAAAAAATAGCATATATTTTACATAATTAAAGTATGAATATATATGAGATTATATAACTATAACTATAAATTAGATTTTCTTTTAATTAAAATATACATTTAAAACATATGCTTAATTATCATCATCATCATTATTATTTTAAAAATATAATTTGTTATTATTATGAAATGTAAATGTTGAACTATTATGAAAGATGTGAGTGAATGAATGAATCCATCCATCCATCAATGAATAGGCTTCCATTATATCGTGGATATAATAGCCATATATATATATATATATATATATATAGCCGGATATGTGATATCAATCAAACAATCAGAATAAGGTCACTCATGCCTTTCCTGGACTCTGAACTCTATAATGTCAACACATTCAGCCTCAAAGTAGATAAAATTACAAAGATTTTATAAAATGCAACAGAGAGTCAATGTGCAGTTCAGAGGTGGCTAAGCTACATTTGACATGCAGTTTGCAAACAGCCCTGCAAGAGATCAAAACTGAAAAGCTGTTTTAGCAGAAGTTTTATATGCTGTCAAGACATTCAAAGACTTTTGGGGCCCTCATATTCTTACATGCAAATTTAAATTGGTATACAGCCATTTCTGAGCCATTTTCCACAGTGAAAATGGTTGCATAGTGAACCATGTTTCAGTGCGAGTACAACCGAGGTCTCCAGTCGAAGATATAGAGGTTAATTAGCAACACAGACTGTAATGAAATAATACAGCAGTAATGAGTACAAGTGCCACAACTCAACACTGGAAACTTATACATTATGAATTTTAATTTTTAATAGAAGTGCTCAGGCAGGATTATATAATGTCTTAAATTCAGTTCCTTAAGAGTGTAAATAGCTTTAGTTTGAGTCATGTAGCAGACGGACACTTTAGCTTTAGTCGACTTTTAGCTACAGACAAAAAAAACCCCACTTCATTTACCTGTTTAATTCTATTTTAGCTCGATTCAAAGGAAATAAGAGACAGAACTGCCCTTGTTCTATTTTGTTTATCTAAGCAAGCCAATGCTCTCAATTTTCCTTTTAAAGCACAGTAACATCTCGAGTGTGAGAAAATAAAAGGACTGTGATATGTGAGAGCTCAGAGCCGAGAAAGCCAGAAGAGACAGAGCATAATTTCCAACAGTCTGCTGATGCTGCCGTACCATTAGGCAGAGGCAACAATTTTGAAAAGGAATAAAGTCCCTGAGGTTCATTATAAACTCTCAAAGGTCATAGCAAGACTGCAGCAAGCGCAGGAAATTACCACCACAGATCCCAATTAAAACAGACCGTATAGATTTTATCTGTACAACTAAGCCAGGTGAGTGTTACACTGTAACATTTTTGCTCCAGTGCTGCCATGAGACCCTGTCACGCTGTATCCTTCCACACTCACAGTGTATTCCCTTCACACTCACACATATATTCAGTTACGGATTCTGATTGGATCGCTGCCATTCAAAGGTGTCGATTTTCAGCTCCACATCACTTCACACTCTCTGAAATCAAGCAAATCCAATCAAAATGACAATTTCTATTTTTTTCAAACACACATAAACTTATAGTGTCAATGCTACAATTGTGATCCAATCAATAAAACAATTTTGCTACTAAAAAGCTGCATTACTTAAAAATTTCAATTTGCACAGATGCCTCTTGTTCAACACTGCTGAGAGCCATGTCAGGTGATCACACACAAAAACATTTTTAGAAAAACCTGGAAAAAAACCTTGACATCAAAACATGTTTCTTTATTATTTATTATTAACATAAATGTTAAATTACTGTTTGAAAATTATATTATATTAATATATATATTTTTAATATTAATATTAAATTATTGAATATATATATATATATATATATATATATACAATTTTATATTACTTAAAAATTTCAATTTGCACAGATGCCTCTTGTTCAACACTGCTGAGAGCCATGTCAGGTGATCACACACAAAAACATTTTTAGAAAAACCTGGAAAAAAACCTTGACATCAAAACATGTTTCTTTATTATTTATTATTAACATAAATGTTAAATTACTGTTTGAAAATTATATTATATTAATATATATATTTTTAATATTAATATTAAATTATTGAATATATATATATATATATATATATATACACAATTTTATATTATTATATATGGATTATATATAATATTATTTGTAAAGAAAATTAATATTTATAGATAATAAACTATACATGAATAAATAAATGTGGTATATTTAGTATTTATATGTAGTATTTAGTTTATTTAATATGAAACTAAGACTAACAATTATTTATATAAATATGAATATATTACAATTTATTTATATAATTTTTGTTCATATTTTAATAATTATTCACATTAATAAATAACATGGCAGACTGTTAAATAATTGGAAATGACTGAGGTGTAACTGCATATGTGTGTGGATATACGTGTGTGCAATAATGTAATGTGAGTAATGATTAAAAACAGTAACATTTATATTTAATAAACTAACTAAATAAAATGTATTCTACAGTATATATAGTCTTTATATACAGAATATTAAGCTCATCCAATATAAAACTGCAATTCTTTACAAATATGAATGAATGAATGAATGAATGTCAATACAAGGACCTAAAGTATTGATGAACTGTACAAAAAAGAACCATGATATATCAATATGACTGTATTGGCACAGTCTTTGTAATCTACCTATCGGTCTCACCCTCCTGAGCTGAATTTACACTTCTACACTTGCTCATTGAGATATAAGGGACTAAAAATAGCAGCAACAAAACTGGCGAGACTGATGAGATTAACACTATACCTGACCTAAAATCAAGATAAGATGAACAACGTGCCAATTGAAAAAAAAAAAACTGCTGAGGTGTTTTAATGTGATATGGTAAGACAAGTGAAACCCCTTTAAGTTAAAACACACACACACAAACACATATTGTACGATGTGCTCTAACTCAGATTAATTCTAATGAGGTCACTACTCGGCTGTGAGCAAGAACCGTGTCCGATTTGGATAAATGCTCTCTAAGGATCTGGCTCTCTAGCAGAAATCCTGAAGGTTGGTAACTTGGGGATTAACACACTTCAGCGCTCACGCACACAGCGAGAGTGTGGGTAAACTTTACCTGTGTTATTCCGGTAGGTTCCAGTATGGCCCGGAGGGAGCGCTTCTCCCTGGCTCTGGCTCAAGCTTCTCATGGGGACTTTCTGGTAGACTCTGTCTTCATATATGGGATCGATGTGATGCTCGGGGGACTGCAGGGGCCTCAGTTCGGGGCCCAGGTGAGCATGCTGACTGCTGTACGAACCTCGAGATCCTAAAAGAGACACAAAAGACAGTTCCTGTTAGTGATGATAATTTTAACTTGAAAAAAAGTCTTGCGAACTCAGTCCCTTATGAATGAGAACAACAATACGGCAGTGTAAGTACATCATTACGTTGATCCCATAATGCACATAAGCTGTTGGCTATCACACTAGATCTGCCAATCACAACATGTCCAAGGCATCAGAGAGCAAATTAGTCAATATTTCCTTCCTGATCTGAAGTGCATCTCCGGAAAGCAACAAGGAGACTGTGAAGATGATGTTTATGAACCCTTTGAACCACAGGAGGAAAGTATAGCCACAATGATCCACACTATATATACATATCCCGGCTTAGTAGACGTTTATAGGGACTCTAGTGTTATATTTTAAATATATGTGTCTTATATATTATTTAATAATCTACATACTGTTTACACACGTGTATGTGAATGTTATAAAATAATTATTACTAATTATTATTTAAAAATAGGAATTATGTATATTAAACAAACACTTCAATACTTAAATACTTTATTACATGTAAATACACAAAGAACCATATATTATGTAAATTATTATTATTAAAACAATAATTATTGTTAAAAATGTACAAATTCGAATAAATATTTAAACTACTGTTATATTTATATACTTATTACATTTTAATTATAAATTATAAAATAATTAGTGTTCATTAAATAACTATTGAATAATATAGATTATTTAATATAAATCTTTTACATATTTTATGTATTACATAGAAAAAGTAGAACTATTTAGAAGCACACACATACAACTTTCTGGGGTATATATATATATAACATACCCTGATACAAGTATAGTATCTGTATACAAGCATTGATTCAATACAGTGAGAATAAAAAAAGCCTCACAATATATTGATATATGATGTATATGAATATGAGATTGATATATGAAATTGTGTGGACACGGCCCAACTAATCCTTCCCTTCTTGATCAAGAGTGCATGCTGGGACCTCCAGAGAGGATGAAGGAGAGTGTTAAGATGATGTTTATGAACCCCAGACACAGGAGGAAGGCAAATGCTAACTCAACATTCACTCACATACTCGCATTGATCCACACACTTGATATCCTGGCTTTGCGACGGCCTACAGGGATGCCATACACCCACACATAGAGACACACAATCTTTAGAATTGTTGTGGCTCAGGACTGGAGGGTTCTCTATATCTTGGCAGCTCATCTCATTGGTTTTCACTGAATGACAGAGATGTACTATTCTAAACAGCAATGCAAACAATCAGCAGAACAGAAATGCTTATTCAAGGCCACTGGAACAGAACACGTGCATGCATGTTAATCTTCAGACTACTACATTGTCTGACCTGCTCTGATGCTTCGCAGGACATGACTGTGCAATGCTCAGAAAATAAGAAGCTGTAGATATACAGGGCATTGTGTGTAATCACCTTATCAGTGTCCGGCAGACAAACACCCCTCTTCCCTAACCTGATTTCCTTAGTGTTGGAGGAGATCCATCGGGATACATCCACAATCCCCGAAATCTCTCTCTGCCTTATCATCTGAGAAGCTATATTTTCTTCTGACCAGGTAGGAAAGATGAATGACAAAGAGATTCAGAGAATAAGACATGAACTTCTGTAGATAACACCAGCATTTGATGGGAAAGCCAGAGGTTTTTAAACTGGTGTCTGGGGTCCCCCAGGGGGCTGCGAGGGGGTGCTTGGGGGTCTGTGAAAAATTTAGGAAAGACGGATTTATTTTTTAAACAAAAAAGTAAAAAAGATCTTACAAAATATCTAGTTTTTATACAAACCACTGCAACATAAATCTATCTATCTATCTATCTATATATATATATATATGCACACACACACACTGATTTAATAAAACGTTTAAGAAATATAAACAAAAACGTCTTTTAAATATTAATACTGATTATACATAACTTACTATAATACTGAGTCAACATACAGAGTAAATATTCTCCAGACAATAATAACATGTTTTAGTTTAAATATGAATGCAACAAAAATAAACTGATAAAATTCATAAATGTATTTATGCAACATTGTGATTTTTAACATTCTGCTGTTGCTAGTGTTTTACAGTGTCTACAGAAAATATTTTGCAAACTATTATATTTTAATAATTTGTTTTGTTTTAGTACTGTGACAATTTAAAAGCCAATTATTTCATTTTGGAAACAACATGTCTTATTAATATTTTATACTTAATATTTTTTGTGACAGTGTATCTTCACATTCAGAGGTCCTTGACATTAAAAATGTTTGAAAACTCTTGAGGTAGACAGAAGAATGAATAGCCACCATGAGAAAATACTTCCAGCCAGTTTCTATGCTGGTCCAGGCTGGTTTATGCTGGTTTATTGCTGGACTGCCTGATAGACCAGCATATTTGCGCTGTTCTTTCTGGTGGAGCTGACTGTAAACTGAAATCTTGCTGGTTAAGCTAGTTAAAAATCCTAGTGAGAACAGCAGCATCCAAAACGCAACATATGCTGGTCTCTTCAACAGGGTAGACGCTAAGAGACATGGGCAGATGGCTGACCGGGCAGATAGAAAGACTGACAGACAAGCAGGAGAACAAGAAGAGACATGTAAGAACAGAGAGAAAGTGAGAGGGCAACAGATAGAGACACCTCCTCTCAGATGTTGCCAACAGGTCCAAGTGATTACAAGCGTCTGTGATAGCAGTAAAGCAGCACGTCTCACTGCAGGAGAACCACAGCTTTTCAAAGGCAATTACGTGGCAAAACTCTTTGTCCAGGTGGAGGATTTGGACTGACAGGTCAGGGGCTCCCACACAGATGCCTATACAAACTAGCAAAACCGTTCCCGGACCCGTACCTTGTGAGGAGACGCGGGTAACATCCGTTCGATCTGCCCTCATGCTCCCTACCCACCTAATGATAAAACATTACATCTAAAAGAGGAATCCATGAGCCTTTGATACAGCTGGCTGAATAAATAGGCTTGTACATCTGGTACACATTTGGAACAACTTAGACAAGCGCTCTGAAGCACCTCTTCACCGTCTAATCACAGGCGAAGTGTTAATAGCGCTTCAGGCATCTGAACATTGGCTGTGCATTGTGCATTGTGCTCTCTGTTTGCTGTCATTAAAGCATGAGGATGATAGATTGAGTTTAGGATCTAATGTAGCACCTAGCTCTGGCTAAACCTGTCAGTTCATCTCTATTATATAAACCGATAGTTCCTGCTCTAAAATCTGATTGGATGCTCAAAGTGGTTTTCAAATTCAATACACCTAGAGATGACCACACATCAGTTTAATTGTATTAATGCGTCATGTTGCTACTATACACTGATTGACAACCAAAAACAGCCTTTTGAACTGTATTATTTTTACTTTTGTATTAGAATTCTTTATTAAGATGATGATTATTCTTCGTCTTCCCAATGATATTGATGATGATAATGACGATAATAATAATAATAATAATAACAATAACAACAATAAACGTATAAATAAATACAATATAAATATAATCTATTAATTTAATAATGAATTTAATAATGAATTTAATAAACATTTCTTGTCAATTTATTTATCTAAATATAATTTATTTATTATTAAAATAATACATTATATTGATATTGATTTTAATTAAGACTTTGTATTATTGTAACATTATAAAGTACAATGAGATATCAATCTCATTGCAATCAGATTTTGTTTTGTCGAAAGTAAATTTGAGAGCGAGTTCTTTAGCCAACAACTAAAGAAAAAGCAAAGAAAACTGACTTTATCAAAACACTTTATGGGGCCTCAAGTGGCTTATTGTGCTTTTGTCTTACAAAATTCACAAAAAAGAAAAAAACTATTATCATAAACTTATCTTCTACTAAGCTTGAAAGCAACCTTTCCTCTAGATTAAACCAGATACAACAGGAGAAGTAACAGAAAAAAAATAGCAAAGTACAGAGTATATCATCTAAGTCTTTACTTTAAAAAAGGCAACAATTTTCTAGCTCTACAATTAGATTCATTCTAAATAGGCCGGTATCTTCATAGTGCTTTTACGCTGATGCTCATGTGAAGTGATAAGCTTATTCAAGAGTCAATTTAACCATTCAAGTTAGACCAGAAAATAATGTTTTTCCTCAAAACACCATGTTTCTGTATGGTTTACCCTGATTCTCCATCATTGTACTGTACTTTGCACCTTGTTTCTGTGCTGGTTTTGCTTTTGCAGAAGTAAGACAAGCACTAAAGTCCATCTTTCTCAATCTTAGCAAGAGTCCAACTCTGCTGTTCACTCTCACATGGCTTCCGGCTGTAATGACACACATCATCAGCCCCTCAGCAACAATCCCTCCAAATACCACATCATGAAAGACAGGCTCACCAAACGCATCAAATACCCTCCAGAAATCAGGGAAGCCTTGCAAACAAAGTCTCCCGTCTATACTATGTAATTGCCTTCAAATGTAATCAGCTTTCGGTCAGTGCGTTGGTGGGTGGACTGGGATAATTTCTTGCATGCTAGACCACTGTACGGATACTGGTAGAGGTGTACGGCCACGGGATGCCGGACTTTAATCAAAGAGACAAGTGGGAGAGCCGGTGATGGCTCAACACGGGCTGAGCGATAGTTTGGCACTGGCCTGCTGTTTCCCATTGTGTGACTGTTTCCCTCAGCGGGTTTGATGAAGGGCTGACAATGTGGCAGGTAATATAGGGCTGTAATCAACAATACCTTACACAGGTCCACAATTGGCCTGTTAAGCGGGAGACAATGAAAAAAAAAATGGTGTAAGATTTACAATTTTCACTCAGAAATGACTAGTAAATTTCACTAAAATTACAAAGAAATGGCAAGAAGAATTTTCTTGTAAAACGTACTCCCAATAATCTTGTTTTATTTTTAACTTCGAAAAAATTTTTTTACAGTGCATTATAACATGCTATCAAAGATGCAGATTGGTGTATACTGTACATAGTAATTCAATTAAATTAATAATAATAAATAGAAAAAATAAATAAATAAATGAAATAATTAAATACCATTTTGAACACCACGTTTAAAAGTATGGGGTCAGATAATACTATTTTTTAAAAGAAATTAATACGTTTATTCAGCAAGAATGCATTCAATTGATCTAAAGTGGTATTAAAATATTTATTATATTAAAGAGTTATTTTAGTGTATATTAGTGTTATTTTTGTATATCTTTTAGCAGGGCTCCAAACAAAAAAAATCGAGTAAGGAGCCATTGGCTCCTATAAGAAAAAATTTTAGCCGCCAAATTATTTTTTTTAGGTGTAGTCACAAAGAATTGTTCATGACACAGAATCTGTACCACTGTCATGGACCATAAGCATCACTTGACCACTGAGTGTAGTTTGGGCTCCTCCTCAGTGCATCCTATAAGTGTTGTCATATGTCTTTCACACATTCAGTCTGTTTTTCTTCATTAGTTTCCACTAAAACTTTGATGCGCATCGTCTCAGTTTAATACGTGAACATAGCAAATGATGTGATCGCAAAACAATCAGGAAAAAAGGCATTACATGCAAATGTTTAAGTCATAACATGTAAATATATATAGACGCCAGTGGCGACCTCAGCAAAAACTTCACTCGCAAATTAATATTTTTGGTCGCAAATGCGACCGTTTTAGTCGCAATCTGGAGCCCTGTTTTAGCTATTTATTATGTCCATATAGATTTTATTCAAGTTTTAGTTTGAATTATTTTAGCACATCAAGTTAAACTAAATGAAAATGAGAAATGTTGCCTTTGCAACTAGCTGAAATAAAACTATTTAATTTTATTTAATTTCAAGTAAAGAAATGTTTTCTGGTTTAAGTTTAAGTTAACAATACCTAACTATTAATAACCCTGATGTTACAAATCATGTTTAATTTACATAAATGCTGTTCTTGATATTTTTATTCATTAAACAATCCTGAAAAAAAAATGTTGATCATTAAATCAACATATTAGAATGGCTTCTGAAGGATCATGTGACACTGAAGACTGGAGTAATGATGCTGAAAATTCAGCTTTGTCATCACAAGAATAAATTAACCAGTAAAATATAATAAAATAGAAAACAGATATTTTCTTATATACAATATTTATAATTGGTGCTTTTTAACAAAATAACTCATGCAAATGACCTTAAAAGTACGAAATTGGATGCTATCAATTAATAAAAGCAGATTGTTGTGTACTGTGAAAAACGGAAATTGAAAACTAACAGGCTAAAGCAATTAATGAAGCTATTAAACCAAAAACATTAAGGACTTTAAAAGCATCAGCAGGAGTTTTTTTTTTTTTTAAATCAAAGCCTATCATCTTTGACCTAAGATTGACTGAGATTATTTTCTACAAGAATTACGGAAAAAGTAACATGTTAAATACAAAAATAGCAGTACTAATTACAATATCAGCCACGTACGGTATATGACTGAATAAATGAATTGTTACAGCACCTCTTTGATGTCTAACTGTGGAGCGAGAACGAGTCTTCATATCAAAGTGCTATGTTCCTTCAAAGGAAGAGCTGAAGTCTCTAGACTTAAGGGGCTGAATGTAGGGATCAGCAAAGAAAGCATGCATAGGAAACAAATATGGTTCCCTAGGTGCTTTCTATGTGAAAACTAATATGAGTATCAGATTTGTCTGTCTGCCATCAGAGCTGTGTTTATTTACTTGAGTCCCATGGGTATTTATCTAATTCTGATCACAGAGAAGCCACTGATGTTCGGACTTTGATGTTTGTTAGCAAGTTTTCTCTCAATGTTAGAAGCAACCGAGCTAAAAATGCAAAAGTGTGTGCATATATATATATATATATATATATATAGTTGTTTAATAGCATATTTTTTTATGACTAAAGGCCAGTATCAATGATACCAATACTGATTTCTCTATAAAATTGACCTCACCCCCCCTAATATTTAACCATTGACTATAGCCATTCAACATTACAGTATAACTGAGAGCTATCAATTTGAACATTTATTAGACTTTAAAAAATAACTTCTAATTTAAGTCTGTAACCTATTACATTTCCAAAGTAACCTTCCCAACACTGTATATATATATATATATATATATATATATACACACACAGTATATATTACTTTGTGTATTTTTGCTCTGCCAATTAAAATAGTTCCACTTCTCTGATTAAAAGTAGTTCTATTTCCTTTGTTAACGAATCTGAGATTTTGAATAGACATTCACTTGATTCTTTCCTTAATGAATCAGGTTTGTTGAGCAAATTGGTTGAATGAATTAATAATCAGTCATAAGGACATTCATTTGTGTCTTTTCAGAATGAATCAATGTTGTTGAACAAATAAGTTGAATGAATAAGAATGAGTCACTAATTCATTAGAACATTCACTTCAACAATTCCTGAATGAATCAGTACTGATCAAATCGCTGATTCAGTGACTCTCATAAATACAATAATTTATCACCACCTACCAGTGTTAGTATTTTAGTATTATTTATATACTATTATAGATATATAGATATATATTTATATAGATATAAATATTTTAAATGAGCTATATTTTTTTATTTGATATTTTTCATTTTATTTTTATGAGATTTTTTTTCATTTTAATTTCTTTTTATATCTATATTTAGCTGTAATTTATTTTTAATTCAGTTTTGGTAATTTTACTACTTCAACAACTTATTTCAGTTTTTCATCTAATATTTATATTTTATTTCAATTACAGAACACTTGCTGAATTGTATCACCACACTTTTAAAAAGTTTTAAAACTCAATTTGTGATGTGGTCATGTTGCCTCAATTAAGCTCTCACTGAAAATGAATGGCTTCTGGTCGCTTCAAATTGCTGTCAGTGCCAATGCTCCTTCACTTCAAAGCTGATCAAAATCAATTATACATGTTTCAAACAGTCTGCCAACTAGTCACCAACTAGCACAAGTTCTTTGCACACTGATGTACTTGTATTGTTTCCTGGTGCTGTTTGAAATGAGATTACAATTGAGCGTTTCAAACTAAATACATTCCCAGATTACAGCAAGTAATGGACTTGTACTATTTCTTGGGTGCCTGAAAGTATTTCACGCTTCAAATTATGTCCCCACAGAAACACCCACACAATGTTTGTTAAATCCTAGTCGGCGAGTCAAAGGCGGATCAAGAGTTGTTACTCACCAGCAAGGCTGCCAGGTCTCTGTAGAGTGGCAGTGGCGTAGAGATCGTGGGATATCTTGTACTGCTCAGATGAGTGCACCAGCCTTTTGGTAGGTGAAAGCGTAGCGTAAGTCGACACTCCTGCGGTCTGCAGCTGCTGATAGATAGGCGACGCGTTATTGGGCGGAGACGCCAACCGGTGAGGGGAGCCTGAAGTGTGAGTACCGGGCGTTCCTCCGATGCCCACCGCATTGATCGGTGAGCTACTGCTGTAGGATTTTGCAAGCCTGCCTGGAGAAGGCTTGGGGGAGGCTGAGGAGGACGAGGAGGGCAGGCGCTGGGTGGTGGCGTAGCCGGGTGTGTCGGAGGCCGAGCCCAGACGCTGCAGTTTAGTCGGGGATCCGCTGGTCACCGTGGACTGCATTGAGTTCAGGGGAGAGCTGACGCGCTTGGCAGGCAGAGTAGAGCAGGAGTAGTACAGGCCCGGGCCGGACGCTGCAGAGGGGTGCTGAGAATCGGACAGCAGGGCACCGCCATGGCTCTGACAAGAGTCGCCCGCCGCAAGCTGGGCCGCACGGTTAGATGTCACCTGTGAGGAGAGAAAGATAACTGTTATTTCCAATCAATACAGATCCTAAATAAGGAAAAATAAGAGAGAGAGAACAAAAAAGATCTGTTATGTCACCCTCATATCATTCCAAACCTATAAGATATTTCAAATAATTTAAACGTTTGGTGTAGTGAGATTTTTTTTTAGTTCTTTTAAATTTTCTATTTATTGAATAATTCAGAAAATAAATTATTATGGTTTGCACAAAAATATTCAGCAGCACAACTGTTTTAAACATTGATAATAATAAGAAATGTTTCTTGAGCAGCAAATCAGTATATTAGAATGATTTCTGAAGGATCATGTGACACTGAAGACTGGAGTAATGATGCTGAAAATTCAGCTTTGACATCCCAGGAATACATAAAAATTTCAATTAAAAACAGCAAACAGTTATTTTAAATTGTAATAATATTTCACAATATTACTGTTTTCACTGTATTATGATCAATTAAATTCAGCCTTGGTTAGCTTAGGAGACATTTAAAAATAAATAAATAAAAACTGCATTGCTTCTTGCATGTCATATGACTAAACATCATGACATTTGAGGTTTGTGATGCCATATTTGATAGTCTTTATGAACTTCTGGGGAAGTTTTTTTTTGGGTAAACTTTCATAATTGTCACAAACCGCTACTGTGAGGAGCACGGAGCGAGGAACGAGGAGACGTGGCGTAAACTTCAAACGAACAGACTTTAATAAACATTCAAGGAACCAGGAACACACACATAGCGGGGAAAGACGAACATTCAATACCAGACGAGGAAACTAGGAACAGGACTCACTATAAATACACATGACTTGACGAGACACCTGGGAGCAAATTAACAATCAACATGGGAAATCTAGGTCAGGGCAGGCACATGGAGAGGGAAAAACACAGATAAAGTCCAGGGGCGCAACAATATGATAAAAATGGACAAAAACATTCTTCAGAATATCTTTTATGTTCGACAGAAGAAAGTCAGTCACAGGTTTGGCATGACATGAGGGTGAGTAAATTAATTTTCAGTTTTAGGTGAACTATCCCTTAAAGGTGGTTTACTTGATATTCAGATGGTAATAAGAGACAAGGGCAAAAATTCTTCTCAGAATCCCTTAAAAATAATAATAATTCCCTTGACAGTAACAGATGAAGCATGTATCCTGAACACATAAAAAAAAAAGCCTGTAAACGGAAGTTATTGCATATACATGCACGACCATATGTCACATTTCCTCATGGGATCACCACCCCTTATGTCAATGGATGTTGCATCGGCCGTAATTCAGAAGGGCAGGCGTGCGCAGATAAACCAAGGCAAATAAACGCTGGCACAGTGCCAGTCATTTAGAAAGACGCTTTGGCGTGTGAATAAACATTTCTTCCTTTAGATTCCTCATAATCACAATAACGATTGTGGGTGATTACAATGAAACATTGGTTCCACTGTTTCTCATTTACAGAAAGCATGAAACCTGATTATTCTTATTCAGAATAAATTAGGTGAATGATTGTGCTGGAAAAGTGTATGACATTTAAAGCTAAAGTTGGCTCTGTTTGTCTATATGCTGCGTTCATAAACAAAAAGATTCTTCAGTGGTGCTTTGCACCACCTATGAACAATCCCCTTATCAAAAACAGTTTTCACTGTATAGAGTTGTTGAGCTGGCTATAGGCCGAATTCAGAAAAATTGGGCCACTTTTGTCATTGAGACGAAAGGGACAAAGTGCTGCAATTTATAGCACCTGAATTCACCCTAAAAATTTTTGGTGATTATGATTTTGCCAGGTAGGGCTTTGAATATCAACATTTTAGCACAACTAATAAAGGCAATAACGCCAATACATCAATTTAAAAAGTAAATAAAATAATGAACAAACATAAACTCTCCCCCATTACTGCTTACTGACTTTTTTTTACACTGTAAAATGCAACAAATAAATAAGTAAAAAATAAAATAAAAAATGATAAATAACAAATAAATAATAAATAAATAAATAAATACATAAGATGTCCTTTGTCCTGCTGACATGTCTTCACATAATCTAATGGTTGTAAGCTCAAGCTTCACATGGGACAGCGTTTGTACAAAACAAAAATCTTAATCACCTCATTCTTGATATAGAGTCTTTAGTGCAGCATATATTGATTCTAGGTATCCTGAAGCCCTGTTTGGAGATGGTTTACTATAAAGAACTAGACAATATGTTGTAGAATGTAAAAAGGTCTACAAAAAGCCTTTCGGTTGTAACTTTAATCTTTATTTTCACGATTGCTCTGCTTCTCCTGATAAGACTTTAATGAATGAGATGGAAAAGATGGAAGAATCCTCTGAAGAAGAAAAAACACTCTCAAGATAGGATTGTGAAGATTTAAAAAAGGTAGTTAATAATCATTCCTCTACCAAATGCTTTATCTCTCCATCTCTCATTCTCTCTCTCTCGCTCAGAGGGGGAACCACATCCCAGCATAGACAGCAGAGGAACACCTACTTGAAGAGACGGTTACTGGTTCCTGATGTGGATAAATTATTTAGGGAACAAGAGGTTTATGGTGTTAAAAATATCTACATAAAAGCACCTAACTGATGCGTTGTGTTATATAAACCTATCCTAGAGCAGACAAGCCCTCTTCAGATTACCCTCCACAGAATCAAGCCGACAGTCCGCACAAACACAGGAGAGAAAGAAACACAATGCAGTTTCTGCTTTCAATATAAAGCAAGCACACTTGCAAGCCAGAAAAAACGTTTTTTTTTTTTTTTTTAATGAGAAAACTGCATTCATTTAAAAAGAGAATGTTTTTAAAGAATCTTTGCAGTGAGGCCCCCCTCGACTCTCTCAGAAACAAGTCCGGAAGGCCGAGGAGCTGGGCATCTTTCATTAGAAGACAGAGGGCCTATGTGTTCATTAAAAGTGTCAAAGGATGAGAGAGAGAAGAGTGCAAAAGGGAGGGTGAGCGAGCGAGAGAGGATGTGCCAATGTCAGCTTTATCGTGACCAACCGCTCAAGCTCTTCTTCTGCCATTTGCATGCGTTAAATGGTCACTTACTTAGCGAACATGGAGGAAATTAAATATTTGTAGTCTGAACAGAAACCGTACCTTTTTACCGGAACATTTGTAGCTCGTAGCAGGTGCGAGAGACTCATTTAAAAGAAATGAAAGTTGGGAGAAACCGCCCTGCAGGGCTTGCTGTAATTACAGTCTCATCAACAGGGCACAATTTAACTCTCTGGATAATGACAAAGTTTGTCGTGCACACACTTGCCGCTCGATGCAATGCAGTACCGCTGGCGTCTGCTAACAAATGCTTTGGTCTTGCAGTTAATTGCTTTAATCAGGTCTCGAAATCACTTTTTAGGCAGCAGCTTGAAATATGATCCCAGCTGGAGCCCGGGTTCGTGCCAGTCCCGAAAAAAAAGCAAAAGCGCTACAATGTCTCTGATCACGAGAGACTTGAGGTGCAGAACAGAGTCGTCTCTGTGAAAATACAAAACTGAAGGATGGATATATAACGAGATTCGAAGAAGAAGAGGAAAGAAGCAGCGCTCACCTGGTTGTAGCTATGCACAGCTCCTCCGGGCTGCCCGCTGGAGCGTGGAGGGGGTTGAGGCTGCTGAGATTGTGGTGCGGACACGCAATCACTCAGGGCCAGGGTCTGGTTACTATGGCAGCTGGCGGAGTACTGGAGGGAGCCCTCTGGGTTCGAGCTGAGCTGCAGTGAGTTCTGAGAGAGCAGACTCGGTCCTGTGTGCAGAGAGCCAGAGCGAGAGAGAGAGAGAGAGAGAGCAATTTCAGCAAGGCAGCGATGCAGCCCTCAGCCTGGCAGAAATGGCATGCATAATTTATTAGAAGGGGAGGAGTGAAATAGAGAGAGAAGGAAAGAATGAGCAAGCAAAAGACAGCACGAGAGATGGGGATTAAAATGACAAGAGAAAACCCAAGGAGAGGAATGTGCAAGAGGAGAGAAACCGAGAAAAATGAAGTGTTTTAATGTTTGTGTGGGGGTGTCAGCAAACAGCTGAAGTGCTGGGGTTGGGCATGAGGACAATCGATCATGAACAATCCTCAAAACATAATAGTGTAGGCATTTTTATCAAAACTTCAAAACATTTAAAAACAACTATACACAGAAATGTGCAAAAAAGGAAAAAAAAGGCCCCCACTTTTGAATAAGTTAGTGGTTACGGTATCATTTGAAAGCGATACCTTGCAGTGTCATCACTGCATCAAGGTGCACTAACTGGTGTGGAATCCCCTCAAAATGTGTCATCTTTGCTGATTTGATTTTAATTTGATTGATTTGATTTGACAAAAACAAAAGAGTGAAATACACTCGATTCGTCAAGGATGACACAATAAAGTTAAAAACTTGTTTCCACTGTGGTCCTTGATGTTAAGCATAAACTTCTGGTGACAGGTACACTGGCATTGCATCATAAATACAAAAGTTACAATAAAAATTCCACATTTACAACATTTTAAATCACAATTAAACATACATAATATATACGAATACAAATTCATCAATTAAACAACCTACTTAAGAGCCAACTTTTAACTTTCAAACTAAAACGAGCCATATTTGGAATACTTTTAATATCCATACTCATTGGGCGACATAAGTTTTTGAGCCAATCACCTGAGCTGTAAGTGTCATGTGACTAATTAGAGACTAGTTAGAGTCTCTCAACTCTAGAACATGCCATCAACTGAAATTAAACTTATACATTTGGGCGGGAAATAAAATAAATAATAACAACAATAGAAAGAATTTTCACTCAGAAATTGCTTGTAAATTCCACAAACAATTATGAAGAAACAGCAAGTAGCACTGAAATAAATGTGAAATTTTTAAGTAGAAAAACTCAGATAATCTTTGTTTTATTTTCAACTTTGAAAAATCATATTATACAGTATACAATATATAAAGTCCTCTACAATAATGTTTAAACACTGGCATAATAGATAGATAGATAGATAGATAGATAGATAGATAGATAGATATCATTTAATTGATCAATCAACTTTTGATACATTATATACTTATTTTCTTTTTTTTTTGGTTTAATTGATTACAATTGAATTTTATTACAGGATTAGGAGCAATCTAAATTATTTTCTCTTATAGATTATATTCTATGATAAATTGTATATAAAATAATACTATAATTATTAATAATTTTAATAATAATTATACCAAGTGTATCCCTTACACCCTCTCTAGAGTTGATTTATCTGTCAAATACATGAGTAAACAATGACCAAAATGTCCATTCCTGTCAGATTACACAGATAATCAGCAGTGGTCCAACTGCGTGTTTGGAGAGCGCTTCTGGGCCATCCTGACAGCAAACCAGATTCTATCAACAATTCATAGTTTGACAAGATGCTATCAACCCTCAAAGACCTCAGCTTTCAGCAAGCCCATGGTTGGACTATCAGTCTCAATCAGAGATTAGCTGCTCCTGAAACATACAGTGAAAATGATGATTGTTTTTTTCCCACCCCTCACAAAACACTGTGCCTTTAAAAACAGCTCGAGTTAAAGCATCTCAGGTTTCTCAGGAGGAGGATGTTGTCTGCTCTCCTCGTGCTACACAATAATGTATGGCTCCTGTATCAGACAGATCCATCAAGCTGGTCTGGAGAGATAAGAAAATTGGTGCATTATTCGAGTCCATAATAGCCTGCTGCTCTCATTTATGTTCCCATTGATCTGAAAATCCCTGATCAGACCTGGGGAATGCAATGCAGCTTTGGTTAACCTAAAAAAATACTAAAATAAAACAAGACGTGCAGTTATGAACGCATGCATAAACTAATGAAATCTAAAAACGGACAATGCAATTGTGCATGCATGAATGAATAAATGAAAAATACAAAATAAAATGCAATTATACATAACATAAAAAATAGACAAGGCAACTATACATGTATACATAAAATTAAATAAATACATAAAAACTGAAAATGCAATTATGTATGAATGGATGAATAATAAATTAAAATAAAAACAAACCAGAAATTCAGTAGAAAGAAAGAAAGAAAGAAAGAAAATTGTGCAAAAAAAAATAAAAATAAAATAAAATTCTAATAATGCATAAAAAAAAAAAATAATAAAAAAATAATCATAGACTTTGGAACTGACATGGGTGAACTACCATTTCTGTTCACTGAACACGAGGTCAGTGTAATTGGCCAGCATTGATGATTAAATGACTAACAATCAGCCAGGCCAATATATCACTGTCACTCATGCTAATGTTCTAATGTGGTGTGTGTTCCCTCTCTTTTGTATGCATATTGTATGTACATTTTTGTGCATGTTATATTTTAGCCTCCTGGGAATCATTCTCTCATTTGAAGCAGCGTGTCTAAAGGGGCTGAAGCTACAGCATCACAGCAGTGACACTAAATATAGCTCCTCACCTAGTGTAAGACACTTACACAGCTCTTACACCTCAGGAGGAGGATGTTGTCTGCTCTCCTCGCGCTACACAATAATCTATGGCTCCTGTATCAGACAGATCCATCAAGCTGGTCTGGAGAGATAAGAAAATTGGTGCATTATTCGAGTCCATAATAGCCTGCTGCTCTCATTTATGTTCCCATTGATCTGAAAATCCCTGATCAGACCTGGGGAATGCAATGCAGCTTTGGTTAACCTAAAGCTTTCCTCTGCCCCGACCCTTGACCATATCATCATCAGACTTCATGGCATTGTAAGGTGAATTCTCAAATGATATTGAAGATGATCAAAAGCAACAGAACAGTCATGAGAGTCTGCTTGCTGAACTATCCCTTTAATGCAGTCACATAAATTCTGATCCTCATTTCTTATTGTGCCAGACAGGTACTGTACATATGGCATGCCATGCATAAAAAAAAAGAAAAAAAAAAAAAGCATATCCAGTCAAGCCTGCCCAAGAAATCCACAGCGCTCTCATTCGCCTCCTTAAAATGGAGCAGCTGGATTAGTTTAACTAAGGATAACACTTCCATACATGTAAAGCAGCCTTGCTGAAACCCGAACATCAAAGTGCCAAGCAGCGCTGCATGCTGTATCACACAGAATAAATCACACATCCCCAATGTACAGTCCTGCAAACACCAGGTTCACTGATTTCAAAAGCTTCTCTGGTGAGGTGCTCATATGAATGCTGCAGTTTTCCCATGTCTCAGTCAATAAGACTGTCAATAAGTCTTTTCTTTTTCCAAATGAAACCATTAGTACCATAAAATTGATACCAAGTCAAAACTAAATAATAAGGCGAAATATTGTATATATGTGCAGTAAAGCGATTGTCCACCCCAAAATGAAAATTGTCTTATCATTTACTTACCCTCATGTCGTTCCAAACCTGTATGACTTTCTTTCTTCTGTGAAACATAAAAGAAAATACTTGCTGGTAAGAATGCTGGTAACCAAACAGTTTTGGTTCCCATTGACTTACATTGTATGAGTAAAAAAAAAATACAATGGAAGTCAATATGAAACTACTTTTGGAACATTCTTAAAATATCTTCTTTTGTGTTTAGTAGAAAAAAAAAGAAAGAAAATAAATGCAAACAGTTTTGGAACAACATAAGGGGGAGTAAATGAATACTGAGCAAATAATACAGAAATACCCCTTTTATCCCTGTTACAGTCTATTATGCTGTCAATAAGAATATTTACAAAATAAATAAATAAAAATAAAATATTAATAAGAAAAACAACAACAAAAAAACACTCCTTTTAATTTATTTCTTTGTTAATTATTGCTGATTGTTTACTTCAATAATTAAATTAAGCAATGCTTACCTAAATGAAGAAGAAAAAATATTGAAGGCAATGTGCCTTTGTTTTAATTTGCTTAATAATTATACCAATTTTTAATTGATTTTTAATAAAGGAATGTGCCTAACAGCATGTTCGCTGTGATACTGGATTCCACTAATAATTTTTTTTATTACTCATAAACTACTAATGTAACCATGGTGCAAATAGGGAATTTGGCCAAATAAAAAAAACAAATAAATAAACATTCCGTATCATTTTTCTCCAAACAAAATTTCAGTTAACACAACAATAAAATTACAAATTAGTATATCATATAGTTATCATCAAAATATAAGCAGCCTACTGATAACCTTTTATATTTCACAAGTACATAATAAATACTTTGTGTTTTGTTTAAATTGTCTCTAAGATAATCAATGGTTAACTGACTGTGAAATCTGTGCCTAGCAAGATGAAGCCAAATCCCCCCCGGAAATTACTAATTGAATAACCAGATGCAATAGACAATGGAGGAAAATTGGATAAATTACAGTTGTGTCACTTGCCATGGTATCAAGAAGGTGCAAGACAACATTTCACATAATGCCAGGTTGTTAAGTTAACCAATGGATGGAATAAACTTGTACTAGAAATATATAATACCATCACGGAAGTGCATGGACTGTTGGACTATTATATAAAATATCACCAGAGGCTGTAACTCTAATTTTTTGCTTCCTATATGATGAAACATTTCGTGAGGGATCTATTTTTTATATTCTTTTACAAGACTCACAAGAGCGGAATCATCGTGCTGCTTTGACTCAGTACGAGAAAAAGGGCGACATGGATATATAATATAATCAGATGAAACCTATGGAAATAAATGAAAGGCTGACATTACACATAGCAGGCACTGAGACCGATGCCTTCAAGACATCAATCTTTTCCTTATTCCTGTAATGCTTAGATCACTAATGCATTCTGAACGAGTCGGGGACAAGCTCCATTCAAAGAATAAAGCCTTTGGATCACAGAGGCCAATGTTTGTTGGCCGTCAGATAATATGTAAAAGCGTGTCCACATCAGACACCTCCACAGCGCTCCAGCTACTTTATCCCGACTCACCCCACTATCAGATAAATTATTGATAGCCACTCTGTCCTTAGCGAAACGTTAGAGCTCACTGTAATTTCAGCCCGTTATAGTAAATATACTTAGTTTCAATACATAATTCATGGACTGTTATGTTCGGCTGTGCTATTCTAATGCATGAAGCCCAGAGAATCTTGTGGTAGGGATGTCTATTCAGCCGAGGCGTTATCTGTTTTGATTATTTCGACTTTGAAGCTGGAATTGGATTACAAAAACCTGTGGCATTTTTCTCTTGTCACCGACCTTAACATAAAGCGCAAAGTCAATAACTTATTTAAAAGCACTTTGAACTCTGAAAAAAGATCAATGACATGCAACTTTCTGGGAGGCGATTAAGACAGTTTTTGTTGAAGTAATATATCCTCCATAAAACAGATGCTTAAGTCTTTTTATTCTTAATCTCTGCCAAAAAGAACAAAAAAAAAAAAAAAGAAGAGAAAAGGTGAAATGCGGGAAAGGGTGATAAATTTACACTATCACAGAAAAAACATGCTGACATTCAGAGATTTATGAATTCTAGTCAATCCTGCACATAACGTACATCATCATCATCTATCATCTTATTTTTAATCATAAAAAAACATGCTGAAAAGTCAGGACGATACTCAGATTGTACTGGACAAACAACGTGCAAAAATTATTTTTCTAAGTTGTAAATAAAACACTACTTCAGTGTTTCTTGATTTCAAAATTTCACGTAATTTGTTACTTGCTGTTTCTTTGTAATTATTAGTGAAATTTACTAGCAATTTCTGAGTGAAAGTTGTGTAAGAAGTAAATCCTACACTGTACAAAATGATTGCTGCAAATAATTATAACAACTTGAAATTAAACATTAGAGTAAGTAATGTGTTGTGTCAAGTTGTTCAAGCTTGACTTAAATATATACACTTAGTTAACTTTAGTTTAATATTTAAGTTATCTCAACAACTTTTAAGTTGTTATACTGTAACTAATTGCAGTATCATTTTTTACAGTGTTCTCCATTATTATTATTATTATTATTATTATTATTATTATTCATGCCTGGGAACAAACTACATTTGAATTGTTTTTTCACTAAAACCTGGAAAATTGTCACATGCTACATTTTACTGTCAGGGAAGGCCAAATATGCAGAAGAATTCACCAAAAAAAAATGCAACTTCTTTCATCATTTACTCTCACTATTTACAGTACATTTCTTTCTTCTGAAAAAGGATATATTTTGAAGAATGTTGGGGTCCAAACAATATTGGATTTCCATTGTATAATATATTATCCTGTGTTCTGCAAAAGAAATTAAGTCAAACAGGTTTTTCATTTTTTCAAAAACTTTTCATTTTTTGGGTGAATTATCTCTTTATCGGGTATTATTTGCATACAATGGATATTTATTTGCCCACAACAGACCACAATTCTAAGTATATTTATAACAAACGACTTCTGTCCGTTTGTCCTGGCACACATCTTCCAGTTCTGCTGTCTTAATTTAACATGGCATGCAGCCAGATGTAGTTTCACAAAAATGACAAAAATAAAAGTTATTACCATCCCTAAATAAAATGCTTTAGGTGCAATGCTCAACATAACAGGCAGCTTAATTATCAGAACATAAGCAATGTACATAACATTAATCTCGACAGATGTTCTCAGTTACGTTCAAAATGCAAATACAAAGTGAGACAAACGGTTGCCTTTTACAGTTACAGATGTGAAAAATGCTGTTTCCTGACTTTCAATGTGTCAGGAAGGAGATATGGTTAAATTTCTGCACATTATTCAGCTATCTTGTATTCAGTACTTTACAAGTATGAAATTATTATGAAATTATATTATATTATTATATATTATTTTGCATGTTAGATGTTTTTGCATCAGTACATTAGATTGCTCAATAAATGGAAAACTTCCAAAATGCATGTTTGCAGAAAAATATTATTCCTTTCACAATTTTCAAGCAACATATTCGAAATATATTGGTGCACCTTGTAAGAGGAAAGAACAAAGACATTTTTTCAAACAGAATTAGAACAACTGTGCCATTTTTGAGATTAGAAATGTTCTGCAATTGTGTACAGAGTCAACATTCCCCTTTTTTGCCTAAAGGCTTTGTCTGGAAATACTTTCATATTATTGCAATAACTAGCACTAAATTCCTTGATGCACCATATACATTGTCAATATACAGCTGCTGTTTAGGAACCCATCCACTGAATAGACACACCACCTTTTTCAAAAACCCACCCTCTCATATATGTGCTGGCCTGTTGATTGACAGTAAATGCGCTCCTTTCAAATGAACGTAGACATCAACCAAGTTGTCAAGTTGAAACCAATGGTTGATTTTTGAAACCAAAAATCTCTTCGCTAATTGGAAGGATTAGGTTTTTGTTTCTTTAATGGACAACACACCAACATAAAGCAAACTCAGGCACTCCAAAAAACAACAACAAAAAAAGAGTTAAAGGGGTCATATGATGCGATTTCAATTTTTCCTTTCTCTTTGAAGTGTTACAAGCTCTTGGTGCATAAAGAAGATCTGTAAAGTTGCAAAGACTAAAGTCTCAAATCCAAAGAGATATTCTTTATAAAAGTTAAGAGTCAATCACGCCTACCTAAAACGGCTCGTTCTAACATGCCCCCACATGTCTACGACACGATGTGGGAAGATTTGCATAACGCCACCCAAATGTTCACGCAAAGAAAGAAGGCGTAACTTTTATTCTCGCTGTAGTTTTGTTGCTGCCGCCATGTCGTGAAGGCGCTGTGTGTTTCGTTGTGAAAGCGAAACTACTTTGTTTGGCCTTCCAAAAGAGGACGATATCTGCTTTGTCATGCCTAGAGCTGATCCGTGCTGGTTGCTGAGGAAATACATCAACTTCGCGCTGTGGATCGCCGGATCAGCTTTCACCGTGGACGAAGCGGAGTCCAGCCCGGGGTCGTCACATGTGGTTGCCGCAAGCCCGCCGGATGCTCCTTCGTCGAATCCGCCGGCTGTGCTGTTCTCAAGGCCGCTGGCCGCCGCTCACTCTAGCCCGCCGGCCTCCGCACACTCTAGCCCACCGTGTGTGACGCTGTGTGTTTCGTTGTGAAAGTGAAACTACTTTGTTTGGCCTTCCAAAAGAGGACACGACTAGAAATAAGTGGTTAAGTTGTATTTACAACACTGTTCCAGAACAGTTCAACCCAAATATTCAGATGTGTGCAGCACATTTTATGGAGGACCGCGTCGCTTCCATTATGAGCGCGCCTGCCGTGCAGCGCTTGGAGTTTGTCATTTCTCCGATCACAAATGCAGACAGGGTTTTATGTTTACGTGGCGCGATGCAACACGTAAAAAGACAGTATAAGTCATTATAATCCGTAATTATGTCCCAACTGGATGCAACAAATGCCTCGTTTATAATGGGTTTATTATGGGTTATAATGGGTGTATAATGGCTCGTTTTATAATGGTAATTAATGTTTTTGTCTCGTCGCTCCGGCCGGACAGGGTATCACAGTTATGGTGAGGGGCGTAACATTTCCGTCACACGCTTGAGGTATTCGGCCAATCACAACGCACTGGATAGCTGGCCAATCAGAGCACACCTCACTTTTCAGCTTTGAAAAAAAATTAGCTTTGCAAAAATCGTAAAAATCGTAAAAAAGGCAAGGCATAGAGGAGAAACAATAATGTACAGTATGTGGAAAATAATGTGTTTTTTTAACCTTAAACCGCATAAACACTTTTCATTACACCAAATACACAACATAATGTTATTTTTAGCAGCATCATATGACCCCTTTAAATAAGCAATTGTGATGGCTATACTCACTGTCAGCTGTGGTGTATTCTTGATGATCCAAGATCCCAGATTCCTGTAGGGAGCGGATACACGAGTCCACCAGTTCCAGACCTGTGTTTAGTTCCTCCTCAATGTCTTTCTGTCCATCTGGAATAAACAGGGAGGAGGTTAATCATTCGTACACTATAAAATACTTCCTGAAGCCTCCTGACCTTTTCCCATCACCTGCTCACTAAGCATCCAAACAGGCTGAGAATCAACTTAATTGGCTGTTTGGATGACCCTGTTAATCGGCGTGCTGCTTGCTCTGTGTCAGAACTGACTGCCAACTCTTCCAAGGCCAGTGTGGTGTACTTTGCCAAGGGATAAAGGGTTACACAAGCTCCCTAAGACAGCAGGTTGCTAAGCTGGGATTCATCACTCTTTAGACACATATGAAAGTGACACAGCCTCGATGCGTTGAGTTAAAGATGATTACAGCAAGCACACTAACTGCAACAAGAAATCGAATAAATAAAACTGATAAAAATGGGAAATGAAAATAGTCAACAATGAATTTTTAAATGAATCATAATTAATAGCATATAATTAAATGCTACTTTAAAACCTGTATTTTGCAATCTATATATTTAAAACTTATCTCATTCTTCTATCCAGACCAATAATGTGCGTACAACACATTTTTAAGTTTTCGAATACAGAAAATTCATAAAGATGATGCTGTTACGTCCTCCGGACATAAGTGTTTTTATTGTTTATTCTGATTGTTCAATGTGCAGAGATGTTCTATGCATTGTGCCGTTTCCCCGTCTCTCTCTCTTTTTCCCTTTCACTCTGCGCAGTGTTGATTGGACGCAGCTGCAGCTGATTTACGTGGATGAGTGAGAGTGGTTAAAAGCTGAGAAGGAAGAGGAGAAGAGAGGAGCACTGAGCCCGAGCATTAGGAGCACTGAGCGCGAGCATTGTACGCATTGGGCGCGAGCAGAGCAGGGAGAGAGCGGCGTGCTGAGCTCTGCGGTGTTGGTCGTTGCCGTTACTGCCCACCGTCTCCTGCCCCAGACATTCAACGCACCTGTGGTCTTGTGATAGGTGACGGGTTGCTGTCATTCTGAGTGAGAGTCTTTCGTTCCGGTGTTATTCATTTGTGTTTGTTTTGGAAGCCATAGGGAGGAGGTTGCCATTTACTTTATGATCCCTTGTTATCTCCTATTTATTGACAGCTAGGGAGTAAGGGGAGAGTATTGTATTTTGTTTGGGTTTTGATTTGTTAGGTAAGTTACTGTCTAATTAATGTTTTAGTTAGTTCTTCTTTTGTTTGTTATTTTGGCCTTGACCCCTCCTGAAGATTTACGCTTCCTGTTATATGATACTTTGTGAATTAAAAGCTTATTATTTGATTTACTCTCGCTCTGTTGTGTTTCTGTGTGTGAGCTGGGACAGGAGAGGGGCGGGTATTGTTGCTCAATTATCTTTATTTTAAATTACTTGTTCGGTATCCCCAACCCTAGACTGGGGAGAACATAACAATGCAATGATCCTGCATGCTGTAGCACAACTAATTCAGTGTAGTTATGAAATCTCCACACACACAAAAAAAGCCTGACAACAAATTTTCAAAAATCATTACAAAAATATGACATTTACCTTGGGTATTCCAGCGATACTTCTCATCGGCTGAACTGCAAATAAGAAAAATAACAATTGGAGTCACTCTCACAATCATATTTCATACACTATGAATGTAGTACTGTACATAGCAACTGAAGTAAATCCTGCTGAAAAAAATATTAATATATCCTTGCTGCATAAAATTATTATTTTTTAAATTTCTTTTAAATTATAATGAACGGTCATATTTGAAGTTGAACAAACCAGCACAGGTGAGTTGAGTAACATTAGATTTATTTTATTTTTTTTAAAGTTTAAATAAGTCTGCTAGTTTTGTGTTTAGTCTCATCTACTCTCTTCACGGCATGCAATGGGGCATAAATAATTTATATTGTTGCATTTCTATGGTTGCTAGTTTTATTTTCATTGTGGTTCATGATGTTAACATTTAGCAACTGGTCTTGTGACATCAAGAGTTTGTTCCTATATTAAAATGATCTTTCAGATGTGTTGAGGTCTGTGTGTGTCATTTTAAGGTATTTATTGCCTCATGAGTATTCATGTTATATTGTTAATATATTTGAACACTTCAATCCCCATGACATTTTCTCATAGAAAACAAACCATATACAAACATGCAAATAAAGGGAACAATTTTCATAGACTCTTATATTTCCAAATAAAAAAAAGGCAGATATAATAAGTAATATCAACTTCACATATTACGTTTCGTCAAGCCATTTAAACTCAAAAGCCATGCAAACAATTACCTTCATTTTCTAAGTTTACTTTTACAGTGTAAATACTGTATGATGCATAGTTTGTGATTCAAGCTTTAATGCTTTTTTTCTCTCTGCCTGATATAGTAGAATTGAGATGTAAGAGAATAATTGCGAAGCCCCAACATCTCTCGTCTCATAACCCAACATCGCTGGCAGGAAACTACAGCAGGCTGGGGTGAACTGAGGGTGCCACTTCACAAGAATGCAGATGTATTTTCCCGCTCTCCCAGATCTCGGATCAAAGGTTAACCGGGATAATGCTTCCCACCCTTTAGACCATCATTATTATAAAGATTTCCTATTTATACTGAGAATGAATACAAATGACGTCGTACAGGCACATGGTGGGAATGAGACTGGTGCAGAATATTGGATTTCCTGGACTGTGATCGATGCTGCCGGTGCCTGGCTGGGACAGAGGATGGGGGGAAAAAAAGAGAGAAAGAGAGAGAATAGGGATGAGGTTGGCTAAAATCAGCTCTGCTCCGGTTGACTGCCCATCTACTGTATAGATGCCTTCAGGCATAGCATGCTGTGACCCATGATCCTCTGCTGCAGCAGCCTGACAAACTGTTAGAGGGTTTCCTGCATCGAAAAAAGTCTATTTATCAGCAGTAGATCGTTGCACTAGGTGTCATGGAAAAAACTCTGTGTGTTTACCAGCAAAACGTCCTACCCCTACGGAAAACTATTTTGCTGCCCACCGCTGTCACCCATCATCAGACAATCATGGCCATTTATTCAGTCAGTCTATCCTACAGCTGCATTGAACAGCAGGCATTGGGAATATATACCTAAAAAAGTGGAAACGACTGGGGTGACATTGGAGTGATGGGAGATATTTACAGCAAGTGTCCTTGTTCAAGGACCAAGGGGATTGAGCTATAAACTATAAACTGAAAGAAGACATCTGGGCCATTTCTGAATAAAGATAAATTTATTCATAAATAAATAAATTAAATACATTTTCTGAATGCAGAAGAACCTGCATGGTCACAGAAGACGATGTAGCAGGAGTGTCCCGTTTGATTATGCATGAGAACACTTATTTATGCTTTAAAATACACAAAGATACACTGAGGCCGTGAAGAAGACCTTTTTCATGTGTGCAGTGAATCTAGGATCAAGTGAATAAAATATCATATGTGAATTGTGGGAATTGAGAGTTGGTTTTTGTTGTTCTCCACTTTTCATAACAGAAAAACAGAAACAACTAATATTCATGATGTTCGGTTCTGGTAACTGTTCCGTTAATTGTTCATCTTCTGATGTGATACTGTACTAAAATATTCTTTATAGTGATGCCACTGATATTTAAAGTTATTAATTGTTTTCATGTAGTGGCCAGTAATTAATAAATGACAGATATTAAAGGGGACATCGGATACAAAATTCACTTTTACATGGTGTTTGCATTTAAATGTGTACACAACCACCCTACAATGATAAAAAAAAATCCATTCAATTTAATAAAGTTTTTCTATTTTAATATATTTTAAAATGTAATTTATTCCTATGAAGGTAAAGCAAAATTTCCATCAGCCATTACTCCAATCTTCAGTGTCACATGATCCTTCAGAAATCATTCTAATGTGCTGATTTGCTGCTCCAGAAACATATTATCAATGTTGAAAACAGGTGTGCTTGTTAATATTTTTGTGGAAATTCTGTAGCAATGTAAACGTCTTTACAGTCACTTTTGATCAATTTAATGCATACTTGCCGAATAAAAGTATTACATTAATAAAATTGTATACAATTTTGTAAAAAAAAATCAATTGTTTTAAATGCTTCAAGTGAGCATCTCAACATAATAATGTACAGTACAGTATGAAAAATGTATATTCATTTTAAGATTAGTTAAATATACATTTAACAGTGTTATTAAATTATTAAATGTAATCTAAAAGTCTAGGTAATCTACATGTAAAAATAGGGGAATACACAACTAACCACTCAACACTACGTAATAATAAAAACCTCTAATATCAACTGATAACCAATATGGTACTGCTATATTGTAAATCTTTAAAGCTTTTCACTAGTGATGCACAATATTATCGGAACGTTATCGGAAATGGCCGATAAAGGCTTAAAATGTAAACGGCCCAATATGAAAACTATGCCGATATGCCTTGCCGAATAAGTGGGTAACTCACATGTGCTGAGGGGTGTGCTATCGATAAGATCACGTCAGCAGTGTGGTCATTCTTGAAGCAAACTTTTGCCTGAATGGTGACTATATTCACTGTTTTGGATTGCCGCATTTAATCTGAGAATGCAAGTACAGACTGACGCGTCCAGTGTGCGATTGTCAATGTTTTAATTATTGTGCATCCCTGCTTTTCACATAAATCTAAAGCACCACAACAAAATAATATCATGACATATGCAACTATGAACATACTGCAGGTTCAGTATGAATCACAAACAAGCCGGTTCTTTTTAATGATTCAGTCAATTCTGTCAAGATCCACAAAACAGTCTCAAACACCTACGTTATCAGTCCGAAACAATCCAATGAATCACTGAGTCATGTATAGTGGTTCTTCAAATACTCACCAAACATTTTCTGATTCATATACTCATCAACGTTTGCCCCATTGACTTCCATAGTATTTTTTTTTTCGTACTATGGAAGTCAATGGCTACCGTCAACTATTTGTTTACAAACATTCTTCAAAATATCTTCTTTTGTGTTCAACAGAAAAAATAAACTCATACAGGTTTGGAACAACATGATTAAATGATGACAGAATGTTAATTTTTGGATAAACTATCCCTTTAAGGAATCAGAATAGTAGTTGGAATCATTCAACAACTTATAATTCCAATCACTAATCACATAGCAATCCTTCTAAGACAAAACCCTTTCTTCAGTTTACTTGTTTCATGTGATAAGTAGGATTATGCCGACAGTATGCTGTACCAACCTCATAAAATAATGAGGCTTTTCTTCAGAAATAGTGAGATGGCAAATTCTACACGTATTGCAAGTTCTGCGGAGGGGTTTAGAGAAAGGCCTCTATGTGAACCCCATGAGGATGTTTAGAGATCATGCGTTTGGGTAAAAATGACCTCTTATGAACGTACGCTTGAGATCACGCATCTCAAAAGCGAAGGATGGGAGAAAGTTCTCAGCTGACAAAATGAAATCTGCTTGTTTATACAGATTTTTCGCTTTAAATAATGCATGAGTCTGGCATCTGAATAATGAAAATGTTGACTTGTTTGAATGGGAAATGGTTCTAATAATCAAAAGCTACTTATATAATCGTGTGCGGAAGGAACGAATGGACCCCTGTGAATACGTCTGAAATGAAATGGTGGTGTGATTCAATAGAAATGTTTCTCTTTTGTCCTGTTGCTTTGTCAACATTTGAGAGAAAATGACGTCAAAGCATAAACCCTGTGCGACAATTTAGATCATTCCTCTTCAGAAAGTCGTTACACTCTCTTAGAGCCAATCAAATGCACGGACCGGCGTCAACTGTTGTGTAATGATGATTATTTTACAGGAGGCCAATATTTGAAATAGCCTGTCTCTCAAACACACTTCATCACACCAACAAATCACTTCCACTCCTTATGGCTCGCAGTTTCATTTCCAAGAGGCTTTAACACACAACGAACTCTGTGGCCTAGCAGATTTCAGCTCGAGATGCTGTCACACACCTTCTGTTCAGATGGATGTGCCGAAGCCAGACACCAGAGAGCAAGGCAGCCAGAACCCCCAGCATGATTGAGGAGCCTGCAGACCTGTGACAAGGCTTTTCATTGCAACCTGTTGGCAAGTGCAGACGAGCACATGGCCAGAGATTAATGCATGCTGGGTTGCAAAACGAGGCAATGGACGTGCATTATATATATATATATATATATATATATTGCAATTTGTTTGCTAAATATTGTGATTTTAACTGCAATATGATAATTGTTTTTACTTTTTATGCTTAGATAAAGGCAAAAAGAAGAAAAAGACAAAAAAAAATCAAAAACTAGCAAGTGACGATTCCTTTCATTAGTTTTATTACTAATAAGATAATAATATTATAGATAAAAAAACTTCAATAATAAGATACTTTTATTTAATATAATAAAAATATCATATTTTTTATATTATTTATATTTGAAATGGTTATTATTAGTAGTAACAATATTATTATTAATAATAGTACTGATGCCATGAATATATGATTGAATATATTGTTATATGGAATACATTAAAAAATTAATATATTTTTACATGAATATAATAATAATAATATTTGTTATTATTTAATAGTATG